ATTGTGGGATTTTCTGCCTTGGTATTCTGGGATATAGGGCTGTGTGGAAGGGCCCTGGGTTATCTGAGCCCACACTCAGATAATGTCAGGTTTCCTGCCTTGATATTCTGGGATATTCTGTAAGGGTCCTGGGTTATCTGAATCCACACTCGGATAATGTGGGGTTTCCTCCCTTGATATTCTGGGATATAGGGCTGTATGGTAGGTCCCTTAGTATTAAGTGAAAACTCCCACTGGTACTGAAGCCACAAGCTTCCCCTGGCCGAACATGTATGCAATTCGACAAAGATTTCTATATACTGAAAAGCTAGTTTAAGAAACAACAGCAACATGAACAGAGTTAGAAATAAAATCAATCTTGATTAAAGAGAAGTCTCAAATTACCAAAAACCGTGACCTGTCCAGGAGCAGAGACCAGGACTGCCAATGAGGTTTCAGTGAATAATGGTTATATCCTGCTTGCTATCAAGGCAGCAATAAAACCAGTGATGAGTTTTGGGTTTTATTTACTCAACCTTTATCTATAGAAACTTTGTCTATAAAGGGTGTGCAGCTGCCGAGTCTTAAAAGAACAAGACTCGGTTTGGGGTTTGGGATCCCAGTGGGTCATGAGGGGGCTTTAGAGGGGTCACCAAAGACCCCCTTTGGTAGAGAAGGCTGAAAATTTCTCCACCTGTCCTTCTCTTCCTTTTTGGAAACAGACGGCGAATCCTCCCACCAAAAGCCCTCCTCTGCTGTGATTGGCCAGTCTCTCAGTCAAGGGGAGGGCTGTTTCTAAGACTCCAAGCAGGGAGGGGAGAGCAGGCATGCTTGTCACATGGCAGAGTGGTGCACTTGTGTAAACAAGGGAAGAGACTGCAAAGCTGGAGGGAGGTTCATGCCAGCAAATCCCTTTAAGGTATGGTAGTTCTGTGTGGGAAGTTTGGTCCAATTCTATCATTAATGAGGTTCAGAATTCTCTTTAATTGTAGGTAAACTATAAATCCCAGCAACTACAACTCCCAAATGTCAAGTTCTATTTCCCCCCAAAGTCCACCATTATTCATATCTGGGCATATTGAGTATTAATGCCAAGTTTGGTCAAGCTCTATCATTATTTGAGTCCACAGTGCTCTCTGGATGGAGGTGAACTACAGCTCCAAAACCCAAGGTCAATGCCCACCAAACCCTTCCAGTAATTTCTGTTGGTCATGGGAGCTCTGTGTGCCAAGTTTGGTTCAATTCCATTGCTGGCAGAGTTCAAGATGTTCTTTGATTGTAGATGAAGTATAAATCCCAGCAACTACAACTCCCAAATGACAAAATCAACCCCTCCCAACCCCACCAGTGTTAAATTTGGACGTATCGGGTATTTGTGCCAAATTTGGACTAGTGGATGAAAATGCATCCTGCATATCAGATATTTACATTAAGATTCATAATAGTAGCAAAATTACAGTTATGAAGTAGCAATGAGAATAATTTTATGATTGAGGGTGACCACAACATGAGGAACTGTATTAAGGGGTTGCGGCATTAAGAAAGTTGAGAACCACTATTCTACACAGTTTGATAAAAGGGAAAATTTTGACCAGAATGTTTAGTGCTCCCATTAGATACAGTAAAATAGTATATTTTAATTTCATGAAAATATATTGGCATGTAATATGTTATTTTATTTTTTTAAATGGGGAAAAGTGCTTCACACCTTTAGTGTCAACATAATATGCAGTATACTTTGGGTAATATGCACCGCAATTTGGATGGGTAGCAAGTGTCTTTTGCTAATACATCTTGGATAGCATTATCTCTGGTGTCGATCATCATGTTGAAATTCGAAACATTGGGCTGTTGAAATGATCTCATTTGGCTGCCTATGTCTTGGAAAGTATAATAATGTTCTCCATGTGTCAGTTCTGTGCTAACATGTCCATCAGTTTGAGATTTTTCTCTCCTTCCCAGTTACAGTTCAATCAATAGCCTTTCCAGTACTTCTACATTATCCATCAGTTTAGTGGGAGTCTGTTGTGTATGACTGATCATTATTCACAGCAGTCATCTGGCACTCTAATTTGACAAGCTGGCCCTCAGCATGAGCCCACCACAAAAAGTACAAAACAAGATGCTTTCATATTTTTTTTGTTGCTTGTGTGTGATAGAAGCTAGTTTTTGAAGCTGAGTTTGAACACATTTTCCAACCTGATTTATTTTGGCCAAATACCTCCTTTATCAGTTGCTTACTAGGGATAGAGATACTACAGGATGAGTTTGACATTACCTTTTAGCCAGTAACCAATCTAGGCTGCTTTATACCATGTGTGAGGCCCCATTTCCAGTTAAAGAGGTGATGGTACCTGTGTGGGGAGGCATTTATGTTACTATCTTCTGGGACCTTGGACACTTAGTGATGTTCCTATTGTTTGCACATCTATATCAATAGAAACTATACTTCTGCTGTTCCTCATTGTTTTGTCTTAAAGAGAGGATAGTCAACTGAGGTCTTTCAGATGTCTGCAGGACACAGACCCTCAATGCCTCACCATTGGCTATATTAACTAAGGCTACAGGTGATTACAGCCCAAAAACGCCTGGGGGTGAAAGCTATTTCTGTTGATGTAACTTGCTGTCAGGTCAACTTTGCCTGAGTCAGTGTGGTACAGTGGTCTGAGCACTGAACCATGACTATAGAGATCAGGGTTTAATGTCTCACTCCTCCATGGAACTCCATTGGGTGACCCCGAGTGAGACACATGATGATCTCACCTTAGAGTTCTAAAGCACAGGTCTGTATTTCCCAATTGCCTGGTGTGCTCCTGCAGAATTCTGGGAAATGTAGTCTAGGGAAGCTAGGACCTCTTTGGCTGAGAATTGCAAAGGCCCCACCCTAAACTATATTTCCCAGAATTCTGCAGGAGCAAACTTGGTGATTGGAAAATGGGGACCTGAGCTTTTAGCTCTAATGTGATATTGTCAACACTTAGCCACAGAAAATCCCATAAGAGGCTCAGTTTAGGGTCGCCAAAAGCCAAAAGCAACTTGAAGGCATGCAAGAACAACAATGAACAAGTCACCTCCAGGAACTTCAACCATCATACCTATCAGGTCTTTTGCTTCATTTGCTGTCTCCTTCTGCTCCAGACAAAGGTAAACTCATGCTACTAGATTCCTGCACACATTTATGTAACATGCTTGCGCTGTCACACCTGTGAAAAGGTCTGTAGACAGGATGTGTTCTGTATGTCCAACGGGACACTGGGGGTGCCTCGGATTAGAGGCCTTTTGGATTTCCTTAAACAAAGTCTTTAGAAACTTGGAAAGTTTAACAAAGTTCTTTATTATTGCTTAGGTCTTCAATAAATCAAACAAATACTTCAAGGCTTTGAATCAACTGGTGGCTTTCTTAATCTTGTCCACAAGGGACAGGCAACTATCTTCATGAACTGTTTCTTCACTATCAGGGAAATCCTTGACCTCTTCCTGGGAAATCTGTCAGGCTCTGCTGGCGTGGGCCCCTACACCCGGTCCAAATTGCGTTATGGCTGCCGTGAGTGGTCCTTACCAAACAGAGTACTTTTGTAGATTTCAAAGAAGGTCTTCAATTCCCAGCGAAGGCTGGCTGTAAAGCTCTGGGACTGTATTTCTCCAGCAAAGAGCTGGCTGTAGAGCTATGGGACTGAATTCCCCCCAGCAAAAGAGCTGTAAAAGATGAAGCTTTCTACAGATGGAATTGATTCACGTCCTGTATGAAAGGCTTCTCTGTGTGAACTGAACTAGAGGTCCCCTTTCCCCCTCCTAAACCCAGAAAAAGGGGCGGAACTAAAGAACCTAATGATGATTGATGGGTCATTGGCCCTATAATTGCAAACCAAGGGAAGCCACCTTATTGCAAAATGCATGGAACCTTGGAATACATGCAAACATTCAAAGAAAGAAAAGGAAGTTGGAGCTCCTGGTACAGCCGTACCAGCACAATGCTCAAAAAAATTAGTTTTCATTTTACACAAACATCAAGGATCATGGCATGGATATCTTAAATGTTTAATGAAAGGGGGAATAGTAGCACTTCTCCACCTGTTCAGAACATCCCTGGCCAATCAGTTGTATAAGTGTAGTGCTTCTAGGGAGCGGGGCTGATGGGTGCATCAGTGGCATAATGGAAAGTATGTGGACATTGATCATTGAGTTGGGATGGAAAGAATACTAAAAATATTGGGGAAATGGTTCAAGAACAGGTTTGAGTATCACAAGAAAAGTTACTAATAAAAAAACTTCACAGATTAGGAGGACAGACTATGACTGAAAAGTGTATGTGGTTTTCTGCATTTCTGTGCAGAAAATCACATTTCTGCTCACAAAGTGTCATTTTTAGTGCTGAAAAACAATGTGCATCTTTAGAAAACAAAGTATCAGTCTAAATTGAAAATAATACAAAAGCTACATAGGTTTTGACAACTTTCTTGCTGCAAGTAAATCAATTGGTAAAAGTATTTGTTCTTGCCTGCAATAACTAAATTTATGAAGATTTATATCCCTATCATTCAGTCACAGATGCTGTCTTGCAATCTTTACAACAGTCCTATAAATCAACATGGATTGTGATTTTAGTTACGAGATGCATGGGATTATTATTGATGGCCCAATAATTTGTATTGTATATGTGTTTTATGTTTTAAATTGAATACTGTTTTTTAATTGTTGTAAACTGCAATGAGTCGCCGACTTAGGCTGAGATATTAGCAGTATACAAGCGTATAAATAATAAATAAATTAGGGCCCAACTAGATACAACAGCCGAGTAATCACCTATGCAAAATCATTTTGTTTGTAAAGTAAGGTAGAAATGGGAAGATGCTGTCAAGGACAATGTGTGTTGAAGAGAGAACATCTTCCACAAAAGCACACTTGCATCACTTAAAATCATCTTCAGATGTTTTGCCCTTAGTGGATGCTAAGATTTGAAATTACCTAACAGGAAAAAGGTACGTGCATTTAAAGTAGCTTCAAATAGAAAATGATCTCACCTCTCTCCCTTTACTCTGCAGGAAGGCTGCAGCCCTCAACAAGGCAGATGGTGAGAGGGTTCCCACAGCTTCTTCCAACTTTCCGGCATCTGTTGCCCAAGGCAATTGCTTCATTCTGCGCAATTGTGACATTGTAGAAAAAAGAACATAAAGTCGGCCTTTGGCATCTTCTAGAACCACCCATCTCCACCCCCATGGATGCTTGGCTTGAAATGTATAGAGTGATGTAGTAAAATCTTGTCTCTTAAATACAAAATGCTAAAATCAAAGCTTTGTCGAAGGCTTTTATGGCTGGAATCACTGGGTTGTTGTAGGTTTTTCAGGCTATATGACCATGTTCTAGAAGCATTCTCTTCTGACGCTTTGCCTGCATCTATGGCATACATCCTCAGAGGTTGTGAGGTCCTCACAACCTCTGAGGATGCTTGCCATAGATGCAGGTGAAACGTCAGGAGACAATGCTTCTAGAGCATGGCCATATACCCCAAAAAACTTACAACCCAAAATCAAAGCTTGCTTTTGAATTCTGTTTATATACCACACCTTTCTCCCTAAGCTCAATGTGTCTTACAACATAAAAAGAATTACAGGTAAAAATGCGCAGAATTAAAAACATTAAAGTGCCTGTAGAATTAAAACTATTTAAAATATTGATTAAAAAATGAAGAATAAAGAACAAAAGCAATAAAATCACACTTGGAAAAGCATGTCAAATATGGATTAATATGCTAAGAAGAAAAGTAGTATAATATCCATCTCCTGTTAACATGTTGGGCAGAGTTATAACATATGTCTTCTCTAATAATTGGGATCAGTTAAGAAACTCAAAGGGCTCTTGGAATATCTGTGCCTTCTTGCCAGCTGCTCTCAGTAACAGGGTGGCATTCACTCTAAAGGCATGTCACATTAGGAGAATAAAGGCTGTAGATCTGAACAGGAAGAAACTGAGAGACTGGGTGTGCCAGGACAGAGCATCCTGCATAGGTAAACAAGAGAAGTGGAGAGAACACTGACTGTTAGGTATAATTGCTGTGACTGTCTGCTGTATCTCCACTATATTTAGAAATCGTGTCTCATCTGGACTTTTCTATTGCCAACAGTTTTTTTTCTTCCAAAAAGTGTAGTAGCAGGGCCTGACTGTTGGATGGTGCATCTGAGCTTTGGCTACCAACAGTATATACCTGGGTGCATATACCTGGGGAACTCAGGTATATACATTTGGTAGCCAAAGCTCAGGTGCACTATCCAACAATCATCACTGCCAAACAGATACAGTGTCAAGGCCACAACCTAAGGCAAGGTTTAGCCAAGTAATCCACAAATGACCTCATCATATGAAGGTCCTTATGCTGGGGGACAGCGGGGGAATCCATCAGACAGTAGGAGAAACCGGCATTAAATGCTTTGTATTGCCTGCATCATCCCCTTCCCCATCACACAGGGGAAACTCTCACTGCCTGACTTTCCCTTTTGTTGTTCCCAGCTTAGGTAATGAGAACACGGATAGCCACCTCAGGGCTCCATCCTACGATGTACCAGGTAGGGGAGGCTGGGTTATGCAATCCAGTTGTGCTTCCCCTCTCTCTCCACTCAGGCAGCTACCTTGCAAATACAGGATCTCTCCTATATCCTTTTGATTGCAAAGAAGGCCATTGATCTGATCATGACTGATTTTTATTTGGATTTCCTTTATTGCCCATCCTACGATGCATCCTAGCATCTCCAGAAGTAGCCCTGTGTCATATGATGGGCTCCATTGGGCTTTGTCCTGGAAGTCTCATAGGTTGGGGAAAAGCCCTATGTGATGAGGTCATATGATGCCAAATACTCAGAGGAATAAGGAAGAGGGAAAACTAAGTGTTCATTCCAGGGTCAAGAGCCAATTATCAGTAATATCCAAGAAGTAGGGTTAAGTCTGCAATTCCAAAGCTAATGTAATTCCCCTTTGTTTGTTAGCCAATGCAATTGTAAATCCAATGTAGTTGCATAGGATCTGTATGTCTAATGTCATTCTTTGTTTAAATGTTTTTCTGTTATCTGATATACCTTCTCACACTGGAAATTGCAATAAAAAGAAACTATGCTTCAAAGTCATTGAAAAGTCATTCATGACACTACTGTCTTCAGAGCATAGTAGTACCCTCCCCCATACTCCTTTTAATTAATTAATCTTTTAGGGGAAAGCCACAGCATTTGAATTGTCTTTTTTTAAAGGTCAGTGTTAATAATATCATTGTCTCCGGTTGCATTTTCTGTACCCACTTTTGCTCTGATTCCATGCTTGTTCATGCAGACTGTGCATATGTTCCTCTTCAGATGATACTTGTTCTGCTTCCAATGAAATCCACAAAAGCTCATGCCATAATCAAGAAATGTGTTTTGCTGCAACAGACTAACAGACCCCCTTTCAAATGATTTTCTTTGTCACTAAATGACAAAACCAGATTTTTTGTTTTTTAAAAAATGTACCTCCATCAGTTGAATTTTGTCATGAGGAAGCCAAGTGTTCTTTTCCAATACACAGGTGCAGTGGGTTAAACCCTTGTGCCAGCAGGACTGAAGACCGACAGGTCGCAGGTTCAAATCTGGGGAGAGTGTGGATGAGCTCCCTCTGTCAGCTCCAGCTCCCCATGCGGGGACATATGAGACGCCTCCTACAAAGATGGTAAAACATCAAAACATCCGGGTGTTCCCTGGGCAACATCCTTGCAGATGGCCAATTCTCTCACACCAGAAGCGACTTGCAGTTTCACAAGTCACTCCTGACACACACACACAAAATCCAAAAGATCAGAAAATCCTGCCTTAACCCAGGGTTTCAAACCGTACAGCCTTCCAGATGTTTTTGGAATGCAACTTCTAGCATTAATTAACATTAATTATGCTGGCTGGAGCTGTGGGGAGTTTCAGTTCAACCATCTTTGGAAGTCCACAGAAGAGAGGACAAAGATTTTGGAAGTCCAAACATAACTAGATATGCCCTTAGCCTCCTCTCACCTTGCTACTCTTGGTAGGAAGGCATTTTCAAAGAAATTGTTACTGCATGCCAGTTTTCGCATTCACATGATTTATGTATGAATGTTTCTTTCATTGCATGAAGATCCTGGCATTTGGATGCTGGTAAATGGGATTTTAAAAAATGGAGTGACAGGTGGGAATATAGCCTTGCAGACCTATTTGCACATGTCACTAGCCTTGCCAATTCTCTATTCATTCGATTCCAGGCCTTGACTCTAAAAAGACTTTAAAAATGGCTTGAAGCACAACTATTTTGGGAGAAGGTAAAATATATTTGGGGATTATTTTATTTTTTTGAGTTTGCAGTTACTTAAAGAAGGTATTAAAATTACCGCACAGGACACAATGTAAACGAAAAGAATCATCTAATGCCAGAATGTTATGTTTGTGGTGGAATTGTTCGTGGATGAGAAAGGATTGAAAAGAAAACATTTTTTGCATCGTTTTAAAAATACTGTAGTGAAAGAACAATCGTTACCTTTCACTAAGGATTTTTCTCTCTCTCTTCTCTCCATTCTTTGCAAAGTCTATTTACAAGTGCAAGGCTTTTGTAGCTGAAGCTAGCTATTCTGCCTTCCTTCTATTGTTTTCTTTCTCTCCCCCATACACTGGCTACCCTAGTTTTCTCAAATGAATTTGTGTCAGGCCTCAGTTCTGGAGCAATGTGATTTTAATGCCAGATTCATTCCTTAATAACATAAGGTCATTATAGATTTTCTATAGGTGAGAATCACTTTTCTCCTATAGATTCTCTATAGCGACAATCACTCTTGTCCTGGAGCCCCCGGTGGTGCCATAGGTTAAATCCCTGTGCCTGCAGGACTGAAGACTGAGAGGTTTGAATCTAGAGTGTGGATGAGCTCCCTCTATCAGCTCCAGCTCCCCATGCAGGGACATGAGAGAAGCCTCCCACAAGGATGGTAAAACATCAAAACATCTCAGCGTTCCCTGGGCAACGCCCTTGCAGACGGCCAATTCTCTCACTCCAGAAATTACTTGCAGTTTCTCAAGTCACTCCTGACATGAAAAAAAATCCTCTTCTCCAATAAATGTGAGCATCACATGGCTTACACAGCCCAACCCATAAAAATATCTTGGTGTCTTGGTTTTTAGGGCTGTTTCTAGGGTTGGGTTGTTGTAGGTTTTTCCGGGCTATATGGCCATGTTCTGGAGGCAATTTTTCTCCTGACGTTTCGCCTGCATCTATGGCAAGCATCCTCAGAGGCAGTGAGGTCTGTTGGAGGTCTGAGGATGCTTGCCATAGATGCAGGCAAAACGTCAGGAGAAAAATTGCCTCCAGAACATGGCCATATAGCCCGGAAAAACCTACAACAACCCAGTGATCCCGGCCATGAAAGCCTTCGACAATACATTGTTTCTAGGGTTATTTGGGGGTGGTGATTCAGAAAATTGTATTGAATAGATTGCATCAACTCTAGTTTCATGATTATAATGTTTCTCTAAGGGTGAGCAGATGAAGACTAGTATATGGCATATGATCTGTATATCAAAAACTAGAGCTGATATGGGAAAATGGTGCAGTTTTTGGAATCAGCAGGTCAAATATACCCAGAAAGAGGTCTAACATTTGAGGCACAAAAATGTGTGTTGGCTAGTATTATATTTATTTATTTATTACATTTATTATAGTTATATTCCACTTTCTTTCACCCCCTCCCCCCCCCCCCCCCCCCCCCCCCCCCCCCCAAAATGGGGATTCAAAGCAGTTCACAGTATGGCAAAATTCAATGCCACATATACAAACAGGTAAAAATACAATAGATCATCTACAAACCAAATAAAAACATATAAATACTATAAAACTGTTCAAAACAATGAAACCAAGTCAAAGCTGCCGTTTGTGTTGCTTCAATTATGCTGGTTCTCTATTGCACTTATCCAAATGCCTGCTTCCACAGCTACGTCTTTACTCTTTTCCTGAAAACTAGGAGAAAGGGTCCAGTCTGATATCACTGAGGAGGGAGTTCCACAACCGAGGAGCCACCACTGAGAAAGCCCTGTCTCTCATTCCCATCAGTCATACTTGGAAAGGAGGTTGGGACTGAGAGCAGGGCCTCCCCGACAGATCTTAATTAATTTATTAATTAATCATATTTATATCCTGCCTTTCTCAACCCTGGAGGGAACTCAAGGTGGCCTCACAACAGGCAGCCATTTGATGCCTTATACACATATATCAAATAAACAAGTACAATTAAAACCAATAATTGAAATATGAATGATTAAAATATTGATTAAAATTACACCATCCAAAACATAATCCAGGGCTGTTCCATTTGTCAAACACATTGGCATGCTTGAAGCTTCTGAACAGTCTTCAAAGTCAACCCCACGTAGAGTGCATTGCAGTAGTCTATTCGAGGTGTGACAAGAGCATGGACTACCATGGCCAAATCTGACTTCCCAAGGTGCAGGCACAACTGGTGCACAATTTTTAATTTTGCGAAAGCACCCCTGGCCACCGCCGAGACCTGGGATTCTAGGCTCAGTGATGAATCCAGAAGAACTCCCAAGCTGTGAACCTGTGTCTTTAATGTATTATATGCCACACTGAACTAGCTGGTCAGTTTTATGGGGCAAGACCCCTTCAAGACCCTGCTACCACTGAAAAAAAGAGCCAAAAAAAGGAGAATTTCCATTGGGAAATTCCCTATTAGAACAAAATAAACCAAAACTGGGGAGCATCCAAAGGAATCCACAAGACACCATTTTTCAAGATGCTCAAAAGATGACTGTTCATGGAAGAAAAGTTCTCCTACCAACAGGCTTTTCCATCAATAATCAATACCTTTTGAGTGTCTCTTTCTGTGGGTTCCTTTGTGAGAACCTGCACGTGCTGTTATGCTTTGTTTTGTCCTTGTACCTGAAAAATGATCCTCTAACCACATTTAGATTTGGGTTGGGAATGATACTGCTTGCTTCTGGGAGTGGAAAATAGCCCAGATCCATTTAAATTATGCCTACTCGTGACCTAAATGTATATGGGAACCAGACTCATTCCCCAGTAAATAGCCACTGACCTGTACACTGGATCAAATTAATAGCTTCAATGGATGGCATGGTATCAGGTGAATTGAAACTTGTGAGCTCGGTGAATTAAGCACTGACCTCTGAACCCTGGCTGAGTTCCTTTCCCACATCACAGTGTGCGGGGAGACAGACTTCATTGAAATATATATATATTTCCCAGAAAGTCTGGAAGTCTGCAATAATCCCATGGCATTATTCTTTTAACGTGCCTCTAATGCTATGTCATTTGTCTTCCAAATGTCACTCACATTTCCTACTTTCAGCCATTTCTCATCTGAATTTAAGTTCTGGCTTCGTTGATTGAAACTAAGTGGATTTCCTTGTGGTCCCAAAAGCTAGAATGGTGGATGATGTGTGTGTCTTCATTTAGACAAAACACATTCGCTTTTTCTATACATTGTCTCAATGATTTAACTATATATTTTAACCTTACCTTGAGCAACACAACTGTTAACTGGAACAATATACATTATGATTGCTTTGTCTATGGATTTCAACTATGCTGTTCCACACATTGAGGAGAGGCGGATAAGAAATAACTTATTTTACTTAGTTATTTTATTTTATGGAGGGGGGGGGGTAAAGTTTATTTTTTAGTTAATGGGGTGGTTATGGGGAGGGAATATTATGGGATTGTTTTTGTAATTGATTTATTTATATTTTACTATCTGTGTTTGTAATTTTTTTAACTTTCAATTTGTTGGATTTAAGTTGTAATTTTGAAATTTTTATAATAAAATAAAATTATTATGGATTTTTACATAACCATAATTATTATTAGTGACTTTATTATGATTATGATTGATATTTTAAATAACTCCCATGTTGTTGTTGTTGTTATTGACTTTTTACACAATCCCAATGCTATTATTATTGTTATTGACATTTTACATAACCCGTTGTCGTTGTTGTTATTATTATTATTGACTTTTTACCTAATTCCCATGATATTGTGATGACTATGATTATTACCGTATTTTCTGGCGTATTAGATGACTTTTTAACCCAGGAAAATCCTCCCTGAACTTGGGGGTCATCTAGTATGCCAGGTATAAGATATCACTTCCTGTTTTGGGTCAAGGCGAGGGAGGCGGGCAGATGCCTTGCGCTGGAGCAGGGCACCCGAAGCTGCTGCAGCAGCTGCGCTCCTCCAGTACCACTTGGCTCCCACTACCGGACTTCAGCCTCACTGAGGGGCTCTTCTACTCCAGGCCTGCCTCGGCTGTCAATGCAGAGGAGGAGGAAGAGGAGGCGACATACTTGCTGGATGGCTGCGTCGCTTCCTCCTCCTCCTCCACTGCACTGACAGCAGAGGCGGGCCTGGA